CTCATCTCTGAGGGAAGGGACGCAGCGAGTTTCTCGAGATGTGCTAGTTCGGCGCTCTTGGAGGCGAAGCGCTTCGGTGCGTGTTGCTCATCATCTTCTTCTCCATCTTCGGCACCGTCTTCGTTGAAGTCTTGTTCTTCATCATCTTCCAGTTCCTCCGCATCGCCCTCGGAGTCGGAGACGTGATCTATTTTTTGCCGTTTTGACGTAGGTAGCATGCGCGCTCTGCTCTCCTCCTCGGAGTCATAGCCTCTCTCCTCGTCTTCGCTTTCCTCAACGTCGAGGTATTCGTTTCGTTTGCGCGTCGCCATTGCTGCGCGGAAAGTAATTCTTTTGCGGATCGCAATATGATAGACTCTTCTCGGAGTACGTAATCGTCTTTCGGTCGGGAAACGCCTGTCGTGACGTGGATATTCGGGCTGTAAACGGGCGCATTCGTCCGCTCGAAACTTTGGCGGAGAAGTCGCGGAGGTCAACTTTTGGGTGGGGCCTGACCTAGCGCCTTGGCACTTTGTCGCGCAACTCATCTGCCAGCCTCCATCACCTTTTCACATCCACACCCACCACACCCACCAACGAACTCACCTACCCGCGCATCACACCTTACTCGCAAACCTACCAACGAACTTCATCTACCCGCACACACACCACACCTCTCGCAGCCATGGGAGGAGATCTCAATTTGAAGAAGTCGTGGCATCCCCACCTGCGCAAGAACCAGGAAAGAGTGTGGAAGGAGGAGAAGTCTGCGCTCGAGGAGCGCAAACTGATCGAGAAGTTGCGCAAGGAACGTGAAGAGGAAGCGGCGATCGAGCAGCTGCAGAGACTGCAAGCTGAGAATGGCGGCAAGGTCGTACAGCGAAGGGTTGATTGGATGTATTCAGGCCCGAGTGGCGATGCCGGCGTCACAGAGGAGCGCGAGGGCTACCTTTTGGGCAAACGCAGGATCGACAACCTGCTGAAGTCGAACGATACACAAAGCCTTCAGAAGGGCGCTGCAGTCGGCATCGACGCCGCCACCGCCGACACGAACGCGAACACTGCTCGCGACACACAGAAGAAAGTCCTCCAGGACCCGCTCCTCATGATTCAGAAACAGAAGATGGAGATGCAGTTGAAGGCTATGAAGGACGCGCAGAAAGAGGCTAAATACGTCGAAAAGCGCGAGAAAGAGAAGGAGCGAGAAAAGAAACACAGAAACCGGGACAGGGAGCGGAGCAGGGATCGCGAACACAAGCACAGCAGCCGACGCCATCGGTCACGTTCGCCACGCAGGAGGGAAGACCGCGAAGATCGTCGCGATCGCGACAGCCACCGTGACAGCCATCGTAGACGGTCGAGATCCCGCTCACGATCACCATACCGCAAACACAGCAGCCGACGAGACCGCACTCGATCACCACGCAGGAGGGAGGATCGTGGCGATCTTCGCGACCGCGACACATACCGACGACGGGACCGTACACCACCGAGAAAACAAGTCGAGAAACAAGTTGAAAGCAAAGCCGATGATACGGAAGCCCGTCAGAGCGCTGCTGACCGCCTAGCTGCAATGCAAGCAGAGGCGACATCGCTAGAGGAGCAGCGTGCTGAGCGTGTCCGACAACAAGAGATCAAGGATGCAGAGGAGGAAGAGAAGCACAAGAAGAACATGGATGGAGGACGCCGTTTCATTTCGAGCGTGCGTGGACAAGCCTCGAACATGGACCTGGGCGATGCGATTGCTCGCGGACGGGGTAACCTAAGGGCAGAGATTGATGCCTAGGGCCTGGTGTTATGTGCTTATGATGAATAGATAGTAAATTGATACCCTAGTCTTTCTCGCTAGACTTGACTCCATTCTCACTCCCTGAGTTTGGGAGACTTCTGTAACCCCGACTGCTATCTAGTATCTTGATTTTGGCAGTTCTGCGATCTCTTCAACAAAAAAGAGTTCTAGTATTTTGCTATAGGGACAGTATATCTCTCGCAAACTATATGGCCAATTGTTGTCTACGAAGGGGAACTAAGGAATCAAGGTACAGAATTGTGAACCTTCCAAGTAGCTCTTCGCATGTTAAATCTCCCCAGCCTTGAAGTGGAACGATACAACCCGCAATAACCTTACGCTCACTTCACAGGATTCCCTTTACTATCCGGTCCGAAGCTCTAGCTGACCGTTCACAAGCCGCTGTAAATGATGGCAACGGCAAGGGCCGTCACTAGAGCAGCCAGACTTGGTGAACTGATTGGTGCCGCAGACTTGGCGTCAAGTCGCTCAAGACAATAAGTAACAGAGTAGCTCGAATTCTGACCGGTAGGTGCACAAGCGAATGGAGTGTCATATCCGTACTCCTTGGTTTCACATGAGGGCTTGTTCTGCTCGAGCTCGTCCATCTGGTCTTTGGTATACAAGGCATTACCAACGATGACTGGACCAGTGCAGTTCAAGGGATTTCCGATGACACCGAGCACGATGCTGAGGAGTTTAGCTGGGAGGGCTTGCGGACCTGGGATTGCGGCAGCGACGGCGGCTATGCCCTCCACGAAATCTAGTGAAGTATTAGCAGCGATGGGGCACATATCGACGAACTGCTTACTGAAAGCCAATTCCTCATCTTCATCATCGGTATTCAAGCCACCAATGGCTACAGACAGGTTCGAAGCAGAGTCAGGAACATCGATCTCCTGCGTGTACTTGACGGTATCGTTTGCTGCAACGATAGCATCGGCTTCGACCTCGCCCACAAGCCAGGAGTTCTTGATGGTGTTGCTGCCTGCTGTTGAGGCGATGGCGAGAAGCAGGTCGTCTTCTTGCAAGTCACGGGTGACCCCAACGTGTACTTCCTGGATGGTGAAACTGAAGCGGACGGCGATGGCAACGTTTGCTAGGAGCAGGAGGGATAGCAGTACTTTCTGTAGGGTGAAGGAAGACATAATAGAGAAGGTAGGATGATATCAATCCCAAGAGAAATGTATTGTAGGCGTCGGATGAGACTTGACTGGAAACTCTAGCAGATGCAGATAAGTCTCAGGCTGGGATTTACTCCGTTAGAACGAGCATCGTGCTCTACTTATGTTCATGTGAACAGCCTGGCCTAGAGCGCGTGAGTGTCGAGGCTCAGTCCCGTCGCCGTCTAATCCACCGACCGGATATCTGTGGAATGCCAGGGGAAAGCGAGTATCAGGTCTAATCGAGACTTCCTGGCCGTCAAAAAGCACTGCGCATGCGTGTTTGCCAATCAATGAAGCTGGCCCCCCATCTTACAGCGCATGGTCTCTTGATGGTGTGATAGAGAGACATCGCCGGAAATGTAAATATGATCCAAGCTCATGTTGACTTCGACGCCGTGGCTTTGGGGCCGAGTCATCATGCACAGGTGCCAAGTGCAGATTGTCGCCTGGAATTCTGCATGGTATGAATGTTTCAAGCTCGTCTGAAGTAGGTCTTTCCAGCATGGGTGGCTGATGTATCCCTAGCGACAGTGTATATATTCCATGGTGTTTCTCCGGTCAGAATTCCGCCCATTGCCGAAGAGTTTGGAGCCATTGACATTCAGTGTTGTGGTATGTAAAGATACCTCGATTTTCAGCCTTGCTGCTCGGTGCTTGTTGTGCCAAGGAGGAGTGGCTGACACCGCCCCCACTGAGTTCGGGAAGGAGCACTGAATAGAGCACGATGCGTCGTATTTATGCTACACGCAGCATTTAGCCTAGCAAGTGCTCTGGCGTTGAGTATCATTCGTGGCTGATCAGCCCAAGCGGAGTAGGGTCGTTAACGATTGCGGCGGCCTCAGCCTTGTGAGCCGCAACATGAACTCAGACCGATGTGCCGGGAATAGCTGACTAATCAGATTATTTTCTTAATGTCCCACAGTCAGCCCTAGCCCATCTATGGAAGGTACCAGGCTGAGGGAGCATCTGTCTCTAGGTAGCATGGACGCATCCGGCGATACTGAGAAGGTATACCATGCCGCCACACGCAGTGATCCGGAATCCCAAGCCGTTTTGATGAGTGACTGCTGTTAGACACTTGTTCGGCATATGCATGACCGGGCACTAGAAGTACGGCGACAAATCTGGTGGACTTCTGATCCTCAAAATAACTTGGTGCAGGCGGCACGTGCTTTGCTACCACAAGAGTAACAAGCATGACCAACTTCGTCCTTGTCAAGCGATCAACGCCAGATTGACTTCAGTGCATCTGATCGGCATAGCTGGCATCTTGAAAGCGGATCTTCCACCGACCGTGTGGCCCGTAGCTGCAGCGCCTTGAGCTACCAGGGACTATATATATGTTTTCGTGATGAGAGAGGCATTAAGGCGCCATACCCGGTGCCGAAGCTTTTAGCATAATGAATGCGATGTCAAGTAGCGTATCACACGCAGTTGACGCTGATGCTTCTGTCATTAGCAAGGATGAGGCTTCGGTGGCCCAGTCTCTCGATGTCGTATTGTGATAAGAGGGGGTAAGGAGGGATGGCGCGAAGTGGCTGTAAGAAGCGCTGGAAGCTTCATATCCGCACATCTCCGCAGACTCGAAATCGCTGAAGAGGCTGTCTTGATGTCGCATAGTCATTAAGAAGCTGAAAATAGGGCCAAGGTGTATTGACAGATATGGACGATGGCGACATTTGCGCAATCGACGTCTATACGCGCGACACTGGACCTCGACTCCAGGAGACCGGCGGATTGAAAATATCGTGATCGTGAGCCAGTTCATGTCGGGCCAGATGAGCATGTTTCAGGACCGGGAAACCAAGCTGACAAGAGTGTTAAGTATACCCCGGGGTCTCTCGTATACAAATCGCGGGTTCACCAGAAAGACAAATGATCTTGATCATCCTGTAGTTCCTGCACCGTGTAGCGAGCAGGAGAGGTCGTGAAATTGACAAAGACACTCTTCTGGTCAGGTTCATCGTAGGGATCAGTGTTCAGGTACGTCCCATTCATGACTAGTCCTAGATTGGCCAGCTTCGGCCAATTGCTTCCGATCCCTAGTAGGCATTAGTACGGCTTGACTATCCCCTGACCAATGGCCACTTACCCTTGTCGTCTCTGATTGTCAACATAATGTCAAACGTAATGGATGACGTCTCGTATTGCTCTTTGATCTGTACCAGCGACTGAAGTCGTTCTAGCAGATCGAATTCTTCCTTTCTGCGTTGATAGTATACCCATGTGATGTAAACATCTTTCAGTGACGGTAAGACACCGTCCTTGTACGCGGTGAGAACATCGAGAAGTTGTTGATCGGCTTCGTCGTTTGGCTCACGGGGATAGTGGACGTGCAGTGATGTGATGCTTGGCGGTAAGAAAGCAGGCAGGTTTCTAGCACTCAGAGTTTCCCCCGGATCAGAAACCAGATTCAAAGAGACTCTGACCGAGTTTAAGTTGGTGAATTCATGGAGAGGATCGAGCTGCGCCATGCGAGTGTTCTCTAATGAGGGCCAACGAGGTGGCCTACACAGTAACGATAAATTCTGAAGACTCTCGATGTGATCATTCAGCGCAGGAACGAGAGCCCCAAACCACTGATCTTTCGTGCTGGAACGCAGTGGGTGAGAGCATTCAAATCGCTCCAGAGCTTTGCACGCAAGTATCATTTTCTTGACCGCAATCTCGGAGAACACTGGTTTGAATAGCGAGAGCTTGGTGATAGGCGATGAACGTACTGGCCACAACCAAGGGCGGCCGAAAATGGTCAAGTCGTCGTCGGCGGCTTCGTGTTCGGATTCGCCTTCCCATTCGCCTTCAAATTCGTTCTCGGGGATTTGGAACCAGCCGCCCAACGCGACAAGAGTAAGCTCATCCAAGCTGGGAAGAAGTAACAACGGGAGCGCGCACCGAGCGGACATTTCCGGTGAATTAGAGAAATCGAAATACAAGATCTTGAGATTGTCAAAACGGTGAGTGTGAAGCCAACTTACGCCCATAGCCATACGACCTATGCCTTCGAGAAGGGTATTTTTACATTCGTCTAAGGGCCAGTCGTATGAAACGGCCGACCGTGCCCATAAATGCTCCAAGTTCGGTGTCCGAAATGCCAATAGAGCGAAGTATAGGTCTTCGTACCCTAGCCAACGGCCCACGAGTGCTGAGGCGTCTTCCGTGCCTAGCCCAAAGGCTCTCACGTCTCTTGTGATGTCTGTCCTGTACTCATCGCGGACGCGCATAGTGCCGTCGCCGTCCTGTCTCAGCCTAGCACGCGTCTTCTGTCGAAGGGCTTTGATCTCGAAGCGAAGGCTTGGCTGCTCTTGGAGACGAGCAAAAAGTCTTTGAGACTGGGGCAGAAAACCGTCAGTCGGGGGCAGGTCTATCGATTCGTAGAGCAACGGTCTGGCAATATGGTACAACTTCTTGGAAACGCAACAAAGAGCCGCAAGAGCGTGCGTGCGGCTGTAGTCGGCTGGTTCTGACCAGGTTGTAGGGCCTCTCAACTGGTCAACAATGTGGATGAGCAATTCGTTGGGAAGGTCGTCCATGGTGGAGATCTGCGGCTAGGTAGAGAGATGATGGGAGTGTTGGTGGGATGGAAGGTGACGTTGACGGGTAGTGGAGAAGGCACGACCATGACGCGTCGGAAAGGAAAACGCCTCGGCGGAAATTTGCGCCAGCTAAGCGGGCGAAGAGAGGAATTTTTACTCTACTCCGATTGAGAGCGAAGACGTCTGACAATGATACTTGCTAGGCCGCGTTCATTGCAGCCTCTTGCAGGGAGGTTGGCAAGTGGGCGAGTTGGTCCATGGCGCGCTGCAGGAAGGCGCGAACCTGCCACGACCTCAGGTGAGACACGTGCAGCTACCCCACGCCCACGCTACTGGGCCCGCATCAGCCCCCCGCCGATGCCCTTGGAGCTCACCAGACGACTCTCAACCTCAACTAGCACCAACAACATGACCGCCACTATAGACTCCGAGACACTCAAGCAGTACTTGGCCGATAGCCCGCCCACTGTCGTGCCTCTGACCATCAAGCCTCACTTCGATGCGCTCAGCGACAAGGAGAAGCTCTACGCCCACCATCTCTCAGTGTAGGACATACATATGCCTCAGCAGTATGTGGTATAGTAACTGACACATACCACAGAGCCTGCTTCGCCGGAACACGCGTCGTCCTCCGCCAAGTCTCCCCCGAATCCGAGCACATCTACGACTTCATCGTCGCCCTCCATAAGCACGCCAAGGGCGACTATGCTTCTCTCGCCAAAGACACCGGTCTCTCACAAGAAGAGATTGACGCATACCTCGATTACTCAGCGCAGTTTCTAGGCAACCTAGGCAACTTCAAGTCCTTCGGAGACAGCAAGTTCGTGCCCCGCCTCGAACCGCGACAGCTGAAGGCACTCGCGACCGCCTCCAAAGATACTCTGGCCATATACGAAAAGTTCAAGGACGCCATATATGCTGGTGACGATGTGGGAAAGCTGCATCTGGGCTACCCCGGTGCGGGACACATCTCGACCTACTACCCCGACAGCCCCGACATCACCAGCGAACAAATCTCCAGCGTGAGCGATTTCCTCGAGGGCAAAGGACTGCTTCCGGAGAACACACGGATCAAGAAGGCGAAGGATGGATACGAGGTTCTCATTGCTTCAGCCTCGGACAACCCATCGGCAGAACAACGCGATCTAAAAGAAAGCGAGTGGACAATGGACGATGGTAGCAAGGTGAAGCTGGTATTTGGTGACTACTCTAAGGAGATGGACACCATCGCGCACCACATTGAGCAGGCGAAGAAATACGCAGCCAATGACCACGAGATCAAGATGATGGAAGAATACTCCAAGAGCTTCAGGACGGGGTCGCTACAGGCCTTCAAGGAGAGCCAGAAGGCTTGGGTACAGGATAAGGGACCTCAGGTGGAATCGGACATCGGATTCATCGAGACCTACCGCGACCCGCACGGCATCCGTGGCGAGTGGGAGGGCTTCGTTGCCATGGTCAACAAGGAACGGACGCGAGCCTTTGGCAAGTTGGTCGAGACCGCGCCACAGTACATCCCTTTGCTACCGTGGGACAAATCGTTCGAGAAGGACAAGTTCCTTAGCCCTGACTTCACCTCGCTCGAGGTGCTGACATTTGCGGGCAGTGGGTAAGTCAGGAAAACTTTCAACGTTGTTCTGTGACCTCATCTAACATCAACAGCATCCCTGCCGGAATCAACATCCCCAACTATGATGACATTCGGCAGAACTTCGGCTTCAAGAACGTATCGCTTGGCAACATCCTCTCTGCAAAAGCACCAAACGAGGCTGTTCCTTTCATAAAAGACAAAGACCTGGCCACGTACCAAAAGTACCGAGACCCTGCCTTCGAGGTCCAGGTCGGCCTCCACGAGCTGCTAGGCCATGGTTGTGGTAAGCTTCTCCAGGAGACGGAGCCGGGCGTTTTCAACTTCGACAAAGAGAACCCTCCAATCTCACCACTAAGCGGCCAGCCAATAAAGTCTTGGTACAAGCCAGGCCAGACTTGGGGATCAACATTCGGCACGATCGCTGCTTCCTATGAGGAGTGCCGTGCCGAGTGTGTCGCCATGGCGCTCTCTTGCGAGTTCCCCATCTTGCAACTGTTCGGTTTCGGCGACGGCAAGGCCGACATGAACAGTGAGGCCGGCGACGTTCTCTTCACAGCATACCTTCAGATGGCCCGCGCTGGTATCGCAGCTCTAGAGTTCTGGGACCCCAAGAGCAGGAAGTGGGGTCAAGCCCACATGCAAGCTCGCTTCTCTATCTTGCGCACATTCCTCAATGCCGGTGTCGAGTTCTGCCAGCTGGAGTGGGAAAAGGACGATCTCTCCGACCTGACCATTCGCCTCGAGCGTGATCGCATCCTGGATCTAGGCCGCCCTGCCGTGAATGACTACCTTCAGAAGCTGCACATCTACAAGGCCACTGCCGACTACGCAGCTGGTAAGAGGATGTACGATGAGATCACGACTGTTGAGCCCTTCTACGAGAACATGGTCAGGCCGGCCGTTCTTAAGAAGAAGACACCCAGGAAGGTCTTCGTCCAGGCAAACACTGTCGAGAAGGACGGCAAGGTCGACTTGATTGAGTACGACGCGACCAACAAGGGCATGATCCAGAGCTGTGCGGACAGAGACTACGTATGAGCATGGACGAACTTGATGCATAAGAGCGGAGTATGGGTGGTTATGACTACATGCAATACAAGCCATTACGATGTTATGAAAAATCAGACACACGAAGAATCGCAGTCGTTCAAAGTCACGATTACTCAACTCGTCGTCCGAACACTCGGTAGCCATGTGGAAGTGGGTTGCGGACATTTAAATCCACTTTGTAGTCTCCATCCATCGCGTCCTGTCATCTAAATGTCCGACGAGCTACGCGCGTGAATATTCTTCCGACATTTGACAGGTGCGGATAGCAGCTTCCGTGCATGAGAGTCGCAAAGCAAGCGAATACGGTTGCTGCTCCTGGGGTAACCTTGGGTTATTTGCAGCATCACATTGTCAAAGACGGGTTTTCTGTTCCGTGAATCAACATGCATAGATCGGTATGGCTCGAATGCTGGCAACTCAAACACCGACATGTCTAAGACCGGGCAAAACATTGCCGAGATGTGCTTGGTGTGCTTGTAGCGCCGGTATATGCTACGCTAGCGCAGGTCTACCAAAGTGCGGAGAGACGAAACGTGCTAGCCCAGGGTCTGCCATCCGCCCTACCCGTTCCGAAGAGAACGCCGAGGTCTGCATTATTCTTCCACCGCTCAAGCGCTATCTCTATATGAAGCCAGATCAACTGACCAGCGATTAGCTCGAGGCTGATCGCGAAAAGATGAGCGACTAGGGTACGACCTAACAGCAGTGTGGTGTAGTCATTCGGACCGACGTGGAATACACGTCCATCGACTACACGTGCGAACGCCTGAGTAGATACCGTCAACACTTGAGTCGCGCGATTAGGAACGTCCGGTAACAATGGGCCCACATCTATTTCCAAGAGCAGGATTCATCAGGGCTCGAGCGCGACAGCCGAAATGATCCAACTTCCAGAAGCAGGGCAAACATGTTCACGGTCCCTGGCACAACGATAGCATACCGGCGACAGTACCTGAAGAGAATGAGATTGCAGGGATCTGGATAGCTGTCAAACTACTCACAGTCCCTGTGGCGTTCTCGACTGCGCGCCGCTGTCATTTGGAGCGTGCGTTAGCGCCATGAGCTGGTGCTTTACCATGCCCCTATCATCACCAAGCGCTGGTCCTTCCGCCCTGCTAATGGAGGAAATCAACACTAAGGCGCAGAAACTACTCTCCTCAACATCAGATGTTTCTCGATGCCGGCATGGTTGCCGAGTATCCTTCCAGAGGGGTACCCTTCTAGCTAGCATGGGCATTGCTTTTAAAGAGCAGATGTGCCACCGGTAAAGGACTATCTACAGTGTCAAGCCACTCTTTCTACTTATCAAGCCTTTATCTTGCTTCAGGAAAGCATCATTCTTTCGTCTATCACTATGAAGTTTTCCATTCTTGCGCTCGCAGGCGCGTACACAGCCAGCGCCGCCGTTCTTGGAGAGAGGCAATCATACGGAGTCAAGGGCACACCCGAAGGCTTCGGAAGAGGTACCACAGGAGGTGGCAATGCAGCCTGTGTTGTACCTTCCTCGGTAGCCCAACTGAAGACCTGGCTCAGCGACAGCACAGCACGCTGTATCGTACTCGACCGAGAGTTCAACTTCAAGGGTACTGAGGGAACCACAACAGCCACCGGCTGCCGTCCCGCATCCAACAAATGCCCTGGCAACGGAGGTCAAGACGCCATCAACTCTGCCAACTGGTGTGACAACGGCAACGCTGGAGCAGGCGCCACGTCTGTCCAGGTCAAGTACGACAATGCCGGTGTAACTGCCATCAACCTGGGCTCCAACAAGTCCCTCATCGGTGTTGGCAACAAGGGTGTCATTCGTGGCAAAGGTCTCCGCATCGCCAACGGAGCACAAAACATCATCATCCAAAACATCCACATCACCGAGCTCAACCCACAGTACATCTGGGGCGGCGACGCCATCACCCTCGACAAGTCTGACCTCGTCTGGATCGGTACGTCTACCCCTCCCCTCCCTCACCTTTCATACATCTAACAATCCCTGCAGACCACGTCAAAATCTCCCTCATCGGCCGCCAAATGTTCGTAGCCGGCTACGGCGCCTCGGGCCGCGTAACAATCAGCAACTCTGAATTCGACGGCAGCACCTCCTGGTCCGCCTCCTGCGATGGCCGCCACTACTGGTCCATCCTCCTCCTCGGCGGCAGCGATCTCATCACCATGAAGGGCAACTACATCCACCACACCTCTGGCCGCAGCCCGAAGGTCGGTGGACAGGGCAACACGCTGCTTCATGCGGTAAACAACTACTTCTACAGCAACACGGGTCATGCTTTTGATATTGAAGCCGGTGGTATGGTTGTTGCTGAGGGCAATGTGTTTCAAAATGTCAACACGCCGCTGCTTAACAACAAGGGGCAGTTGTTTTCTGCGCCTTCGACGGGCGCGAACGGAGTGTGCCAGACCTATCTTGGACACACTTGCCAGCTTAACTCTTTTGGAAGCAGTGGAAGCTTCAGTGGTACTCAGACGGATTTCTTGGTTAACTTCCAGGGAAAGACTGTGGCTGGCGCGTCGGCGGCGAGCTCGAATGTTGCTAACACTGCTGGTGTTGGTAAGATCTAGAGTGGGTTGGAAGTGCGTGTAAGGCTTGAGGCCTTTGCGAGTTGAAAGGCCACACATTTATCTTCTCTGTATTTACTTTACCTTTACCAAATATGTACATACAATCTACAATGCAATGACCAGTTGCAACATCCACCAAATCTCCCACTCTCACTCCTCTCCAAAAACCTCCCTAAAAGCCTCCAAATTCCTCATCCCAGCCGGCCCCTTCGCATAAACCGCAAAATCCACACTCTCAAACCACCCCTCAAACTCTTCCTCCCCCAACACACCCTTCATCTCCTTCGCCACAGCCCTAGGCGGACACCCATAAGCTCCACAACCCATCGCCCCAAGTACCAACCTCCCCACACCCTCCTGTGCCGCCATCCTCAACACCAACCTAACCTTCTCCCGTAACTCCTCCACAACGCTCTCCTCCCTAAACACCACCTCCCCCTCCCCCTCCGCCACAACAGCAGGAAACCTCGGCGCCGCAACCGTCATAACAGCAACCACAAACCGCCGATCCTCCGGTAACTCCACAAGCCCATTATCTAGCGTATCCCGAAACACAACAACGTCGGGCGACATAACACCAGCCACACACCCCGGCCCGGTATTAGCCCACGGATACCATTCCGGCTTCAACGTCGCATACAACGTGGATGAATAGCACAACGCTTCTTCCTGCGTGGAAGATAGTGTGAAGCGCCAGCCGCCGCCGGGTTCGGCGTCGGAGGCTAGGTTCAGGATGCCGGGTTTGGAGGTGCTGGGGAGGGAGCGCGCGAGGGCGAAGGCGTCGCTGTTGTGGATTCTGACTGGGGGGAGTGGGGAGTGGGATGGGTATGTGGGGTGTGTTTTTGATAAGGGGGGGAGTTGGGATGGGATGAAGTAGCTGGTTAGGGAGCCGTTGGGGGTGGAGGATGCGATGGAGGACGAGCGGGTTATTGTGTCTTCGCAGATGCGGCGGCGGGTTGCTAGGTCGAGCATTTTGGGGGGTTTAGTGGAGGTGTTTCCTATAAATCTTTTTCTTGTTTCCTGATTGGGGGTTGAGACTGTTTTGCTAGATTCTGAAAGTTGAGTAGGCAGCAGTTTTGGGACTCGTGGCGGTGCAATGTGGCGCAGTTTTGATTCGGGCAGTTGCGACGGTTGACGGAACCCTCCTTCGAACATTCCATCGGGCCTTATTCGTGACACATCTACGAACGAAATGAGCGAGGCGTATGCGCTGTGCAGATGCCTGTTCAATATCAGCCGAATGCTTCTGACCGGTACATGGGAACTGCACCGCCACTTTGAACCAACTTGACAACGTCCCACAGCCCCCACGGCTATGACCATATAATTCTACTACGTCCGAACACCACAGCCCAGAAACTTTCTCATCATCAACTCGGGATATCTATACTGGCATCTCTGGAGACAACCACCGCTCCCTACCCAATCTCGAATCCCGAATCTTTTCCAAATGGACTCACAACACAAATCCAGCACCCGCCCCTTCCTCACCCTCTTCCCCCGCGAAATCCGCGACGAGATCTACACCCACCTCCTCACCTCCCTACCTCCAAAACTTCAATACGCCCAACCCAGCGACCCATCCCCTTTACCACCCCTCAGCTCGCGCCTCCCACCCTACCTACGCCTAAACCGTCAAATCAACCAAGAAGCCACCGAGGTATATCTGCGCCACACTGTCATCGCCGTCAACGACGTTATTAACCTTGAACTATGGATGGCCGGCATGCCATCCAGCGCATGGAGCTGTATCCAGCATCTCGAGATAGGGACTGTACGGGAAACTGCGCATGTACCACGGTTAAGCCCTGTTTGGTACCGCGCTGGGAGTGTTGTTGATGTTGTTGCGAGATGTCCTGGCCTTAAGAGTCTTACTGTGGGTGTTCCGGGGAGTATGTTTTTGAAGAAGCAGAAAGAAGATGAGGAGTTGCAGGGCGAGAGGACGTCGCGTCTAGTCAATGGAGCGACGTTTGGGGATATGGCGGATCTTGCGGACGTGGTGAGTTCTATGGGGCTACAGAAGCTGGAGTTGGTGTGTGTTGATGGTGATGAGTATTATTACGCCGATCTCGAGGGATGCGGCAACGACATTAAGCCGAATAAGACTCCGACTTGGATTGGCTTGATTGACGCTGCTCAAAATTGGTCTGAGAGGTTTGTTGAGAAGAGCAGGGAGAAGGGAAGTAACGTTGATGTACAGGTCAAGATTATTCCGAACTTGGGGTGGTCATGGAGGAATGAGATGGGCTTTTATCCAAAGGGGCGTGTCACGTCCTTTCAGTATCATTGCTGGTTTGGGTAATAATTCGAAGTGGAGTAGCTGGATGACGCGTTTGCATGGGATGGATCTTCCGTGGGCGGTATCGCACGATAGACATGTCAAGGGATAATGACAAAGTAGAATGCGGCGAGTAGTT